AGACAAAAGCTTCAGTCTTACCACCATACATGCTATGAATGGCTATCTACTCTCTCTTCCCCACATTGCAGGTCAAGGAAGAAGAAGGCTTATCAAATGGTGGTCAACAGTGCTGACTGGGTATTCTTTACCCACAATCCTCCAGGAATAGCTTCCATCTACTTCCTGTTCTTAGCACATTTTACATGATCATAAATGTTACACTGTCAGATACCATGACAAGCAACACCTTCAACTCAGCCACTAGCCAGCCTTCTTTTCTTGCTTGCTTGCTACCAACTAGCTGGACAGTTGTGTTTAGTTTTAATCACTGAATACATATAATGTGAGATTCCGCTCTGTATGCTGTGAATATGTTTTGTAATCATTGATTAATAAAGAAACTGTTTTGGGCCTCTGGAAGGGCAGAATAGAACTAGGCAAAAACAGTAAACTTAATGCTGGGAGAAAGAAGATGGAGTCAGGGAGATGCCATGTAGCTGCCAAAGGAGACAGATGCCAGAACTTTTCCCTGTAAGACACAGCCTTGTGGTAACACACAGCATAATAGAAAGGAATGAATTTAAGATGTGTTAGTTAATAAGAAGCCTAAGTTAATAGGCCAAACAGTGTTTTAATTAATACAGTTTTTGTGTGTGTGTGTGTGTGTGTGTGTGTGTGTGTGTGTGAGTATTTCAGGTCTGGGCAGCCAACAATGAACAAGCCATCTCTGCCAACATATATAGCAAGGAGTCATTTTGTTTTTATTGGTATCTCTGTACTTTAGTGGAAGTTATAATTGAGCCCAGAGAAAGCACTGCCAGTGTCATGGAGATAACCCTGGAAATCCCCTTACTGTTTAGAGCCCCAGGGTCTCAATCCTTTTAGCTGTCTGCATTGTGACTCACAGGGGTTGGGGTAGGCAGTGAGGGTAAAGGTAAGGGTAAGGGTATTATGGTGAACCCTAATAACTGTAAACCAAGACCTTGTCTTGTGACACAGACAGTAGTCTTATAATAAAAAAATACATTTTAGTTAAAAGAATTTTTTTTTTTTAGGTAAAGTGGCAAGTGATTTGATCTATTACTTTCATTTATCTTTTATTTAGAAGACTAGGTAGAACATGAGTGCCTGGTACAAAAGGATACCTAGACGGTAGCCTCAGGTGGTTCTTTAAGTCTTCTCCGTTTCACACTCTCATGTTGATCATACCAGGGCAGAGAATAAAGGGGCGTTGCTCTAAGCTAATGTTTTATTCTACAACTTCATTCTCAGAGTAGTTTATATTCAGTGGTGACTACAGAGAGGAGAGGATTGTATATGAGATATATGGGTTAGTTTATGAGTCAGTCTGCGAGTCGTAAGCCCACCTGTTCAGTCCTATGATCCTACTAACTTGTAGGAAGCCTAGACAATGTAGGTTAGTTTATTTGAAGAAAAAGTTTGAGGATTGTTGAACACTTCACAAATCTCTGCAACAATAAATGGCGTGAATTTTTATTGTGCTACTGTGTTGTGGAATATTCGTTAAGATGTGTTACATTTGTTTGTGCTCTGGAATATTTGTTTAATGATACAAAAATGTGTTGCATTCTTTTTTTTATTTTGCATTGGGTTAATTCTGTTAAGCGGTGGTACTCTGCTTACCTGAATAACCTGATTGGTCTACTGAAGAGCTGAATGGTCAACAACTGGGTAGAGAATGGATAGGCAGGGCTGGCAGGGAGGGTGAATAAATAAATAGAGGAAGACGCATCAAAGAAGTGAGAAAATAAGGGAAGAGGATATCAGGGGCCAAACACCCAGGTACACAGCAGGGATGGAATCAGAAGTAAAGAAGGGTGTGTAGAAAGGTAAGTGGTCAGAGACAAAAGGTAGACAGAATTATTTAGGTTAAGAAAAGAGAGCAAGAAACAAGCCAAGCTAAGATCAGGCTTTATAAGTAATAAGACTCCATGTGATTTATTGGGAGCTGGATTGTGGGTCCCCAAAAGTGTGAAGAGTAAAAGCATAAAAGTAAAAACTACTAACAGCAAGGAACAGTGCTAACAATAAAATTAGTGCCTACTTTGGTAGTAGGGAATCAACATGTCTCAAGCAGTAAATAAATTCATAATTGTCACTTAAGCACATCTAAGGGATGGGCTCGTCTCATTTTCTTTTTAATTACAACTTCTTTATGTTTAATTCATAACATAAAGAGCTGAGGGATCTAGTACTGTAATTCTGTAACAGACTAGGGAATACGGGGGCAGAGATTACAAGTATCTTCGTTCATTGTCTCTTTTCCCTGTTCTACTTGCGGAAGATAACGCTCTTCACGACTGAATCTTCACCCCACCTCTCTTGTCTTGTTTCTAGTAGATCTCAAAGGTCTTTCCATAAAGAGTTTATGAACAGTCTTTATTCACTCTAATAGTTTTCTATGGCCAATAAAAGATACATAAATGACAATTTGTCAGTGTGAGTTTGGGTCTCAAAAGGTCCTGAATGTTTCTCCTTTTCATTCTGTGGGAATATGGATGACCTACTCGCTGGAGGATGAGAATAGAACACAGCTGGTCTATGTCACTCAACTCTTTCTCTGTTGAGTCAACTCAAGGATCAAGAATGACTTTTCCTTCAGACTCTTAAGCAAGCTCAATCAAGATCATCAGACATAATCCCATGCTAATCCTTGACAAATGAACAGTCATTGTCAAATAGTTCCTGTGGTTACTTCTCAGCTATCATAAAATAACTCATGTGGCATAAAATAACTCACACATTACTCAATAACATAACTCTAATTTTATAAGAACAGACATTGTTAATAGCCTCTTTCTGTTTCCTTGTATCTGAGCCTGACCATTAGCTCTGGCAAATGATATGTGTGACATTTTCATAACAACCCTTTAAATAAAATAAAGTTTTCTATTGATTTCCAGTGTATCTGTGGACCTGCAGTGCTGTTGTGATACCTGGAGGTCCCAAGGACTCTTTAGCCATGGATTATGCTGTGAATGGAAGCTACTAATTGAAGTAAAAAAACAGAACAATGGAAGGACTTGGGCCTGATGACCACAGATTTGCTTCACTAGTCCTAGACCATCCATTTGCTATTTTAGTGTAATAGAGAATAAACCATGTTTTTCACAGAACTGCTATTTGGAATTTTACTTTGCACATAGCTGAGTGTAATTCTAATTGAAATAGATATTTAATTGGTCAATTGGGAAGTTTACTATCATTATAATTGGTTGTGTTCTACTCATGTGCATATTCTGGATCATCTTTGTTCTTCCCTTAAATCCTATTCATATCTTAGCAAATTAAAGACTTATGTGGTCAGAAAAAGAAAGAGAGATACAGTAAAGAGAGATTCAAAGATGAATAAAACCTCTCAATGTTATACACTGTGTTAAAAATATACACAGACTTGAGAGAAAAAAGGTTAAAGTCCTTAAAGTAAAAATGAAAGAAAGAGAGTAATTGGGTGTGGTGGTGCACACCTTTAATCCCAACAGTTGGTAGACAGAGGCAGGCAGACCTCTGTGAGTTCAAGGCATGGTTGCATATGCCTTTAATCCCAACACTTGGGAGACAGAGGCAGAGAAACCTCTGCGAGTTCAAGATGCATGTAGCCCACAGGCCTTGAATTTTTACTTTAGAAAGTGAATAATGTGTTTAATTTTAATAGATTGAACATACAGAAACAAGAATTGTGAGAAAAATTGAATATTTCTGTAATACATTTATAAGTCAAGTAATGCTCTTGTGAACTTCATACACGCTGCTGTGGACAGACTTAACACAGGGTTTTTTTTTTTTCCTGTTCTTTTTGTCTGTGTGTCCAGTTAACACTGTTGCTTAACTCTTGGTACAGATGTATACAAAGACTCTGCTATGCTGCCCTGCTCATCCAATGTCAAAAGCAATATTAACAATGTGGGTAATAGCTCCGAGAGTCCAGACTCCCTCCAGAGTGTAGAAGGAGCAATGGGCTGCTTTTCGTCCTGCCTGGCTCCTGGCCACCTGGCTAGTTTTACCAGAAATAATTGCATGGAAACTGTATTCATTTAAACACTGCCTGGCCATTCTCTTATTGACTAACTCTCACATCTTGATTAACTCATTTTTAATAATTTGTGTAATACCAAGAGGTGGTGGCTTACCGGGAAAGATCCTAACCTACATCCATCTTGGGTCGGAGAATCATGGCGTCTGCCTAACTCTGCTTCTTTCTCCCAGCATTCTGTTCTGTCTACTCCACCCACCTATGTTGTAACCTATTAGGCCAAGCAGTTTCTTTATTAATTAACCAATGAAAGCAACACATAGAAAGAAGACCCTCCTACATCACCAGAATATTTTACAAAGTAGATACAAAGGAGATCAATGAAACCAACTGAACAGACAGAAGAATCACCTGGGCCTTCAAACCTGACCAGTATCCTGACCTTCTGATCAATGCATGGTCCTCGATCATGACGGTTGGTGTAGGAGGTTCTTCTGTCCAAGTATTGCTTTCATTGGTTAATGAATAAAGATACTGCCTTGGCCTTTTGATAGGGCAGAACTTAGGTAGGCAGGGAAAACAAAACTGAATGCTGGGAGGAAGAAAGCAGAGTCAGAGAGAAGCCACGGATCCTCTACCTGAGACAGACACAGGTTAGAATCTTCCTCAGTAATTCAATGCCATGTGGTGATATACAGATAAATAGAGGTGGGTTAAATTAAGATATAAGAATTAGCTAATAGGAAACTAGAGCTAATGAATACAATTTCTGTGTGGTTATTTTGGGGCTAACCTAGCCAGGTGGCCGGGACAAACAAGTAGGCCTCTCCCTACAATAGATGGGCTTTATTCATGTGAAATAGCAACACCTAAGGGGAATTTCCAAAGGAGACATGACCTCCATGTGCTAGGTAAGTGACATTGTCACATATTGTGGTATATCAGGTCACCAGACTTTAGATAGAAACAGATGCCTTTATAATTTGTGACAAGACTGAATCTTTTTTCCCTTCCATCTCCACAGTGCCTCCAGCAGTATCCCTGCTTCCAGGGAAAACAGAACATCAGTTTGTGAAGCAATTGCAGGCAAGCCGGCTGCACAGATCTTTTGGGCTCCAGATGGGTATCACGTCACTAAGGAGGAATCACACAGTAAGTCACATTCACTGTCAGGAACACATAGTACTGGGAATAGAATAATGTTTCTGTTGTGTTCTACTTTGTCTCCCATTCCACTGCCAATCAGACTGTCCATAGAGTGGAAGTGGTGAGTATCTCTTAATTTTTATACCTTTGTTAGTTTTCTTTTATTTATTTATTGTATTTGTGCATGTGCCTTATTAAATATGTAGAAGCCAGAGAACAACTTCTCCTTCTACCATATGGGATAAAACTCTTGCCCTCAGACTTGAAAGCAAATGCTTTTACCAGATGAACTATCCACAGGCCCACCCACCTCCTTTTCTCTTCATTTTTCTTTTTTAAACTGGTTATCATTTACTTCTTCTGAGACAAGATCCATCATTGTAGCCAAGACTGGCCTTACATTCATGATCGCCCTTGGTCTTCTATCTGAGTGCTGGGATTACAGAGGAGCTGTTTCTTCCTTGATAGGAAAATGGTATTTCACTTATTCCTTAAGTAGGAGATAATGAATAATCCAAAATAGGAAAGGCAATTTTAGCTGCTAATTTAACATTGCTCTACAGCTGGGAAATGCATTGTTGTGCTGGAGAAGTATTTTCTAACTCTCTATCAAGTAGGAAGAATTGGCTGTACTAAATACTTCTTATCTGTACTTTCCTAAATGCCTTTTATTAGATTCACCATAAAAGTATTTCTCTATTTCTTATATGTGTAGACTTTAATTTACAGGAAATTGATGTCATCAATATTTTTGTAATGTTTTATTCGTGTTGAGTAAACAATTCAATGGTGTTTCTTCTCTTTCTGATTTCTCTGTTTCTTGAAGTGGTCCAAAGTGAGATTTAGGTTTTTCTGCTCATTGTGGCTTGTCTTCTGAAGCCAGTGTTTATCAGAAATTATGTATTTATTTGAAGCTTGTGATACATTGATAAAAATTAGATCATCCCTAGCTTTATATTGAGTTGTAGAATATAGTATTGCAGTTAGGAGCAAATTATTTGTATGCTATAGCTTCTCATTCACAGCTATATAAATATAAACATTATTTAAAATATTCTAACTTACTGGAAATGCAATCATATATCCTTATTTGTTGCCCCATCAACACCTGTGTTTCCCATACTTCCCAACTGCCAGATCCTCATTTGTTCTGTGTATTGAATGACATGTGTATTTCTTATCTCCTCCACTCTCCTGTTACTGCATGTGCTCTTCTCATGTAGCCTCATGGACTCACTCTCCTAGACATAGGTCATGCTGGGTTTCTGAGTGATCTCGTGTCAAACAGGTCTTCAGTCGTCTCAAAAGACTGCCACCAACCTGAGATAATCCAAACTGGATCACTTGTGTTCTACCTATATGGGTTGATAGTGCTGTCTCTTAGGACAGAATGACATCCAAAATAAACAATATGTTTATTAAATTAACTAGCAATTAGAATAGAGATTTATGACTTAGTTGACCATTTTACTTAAATGGATGTTTACAATTAAAGTCATAAATATTTGTATTAAGTAGAGCAATGAAGAGTATTGTATTATATTATTTTTATAAATTTCTGTTTTTTTATGTGTATGCATGTATTCATGTGTTTGTGCATGCATGTAACATGAGGGCCGGCTTGTTGGGGTTTCCGTCCCGCCCGGTACCCCAACAGCCGGCAAATCCCAAAGAGAAATTACACACAGGACTCCATAAGGTTATAAACTGATTGGCCCATTAGGTCAGGCTACTTATTAGTTCTTATAACTTATCTTAACCCATTATTCTGATCTATGTTAGCCACATGGGCTCAGTACCTTTCTCAGTGTGACAGCTTACATGTTGCCTCTTCGGTGGTCTGCACAGGAGTGGCAGAGGAACCCCTGCTTCCCAGAATTCTCCTGTTCTCATTGCATCACCCCTACTTCCTGTCTGGTTTTCCCACCTATACTGCCTGCCTGGCCAATCAGCGTTTTATTAAAATATGATTGACAGAATACAGACAATCCTCCCGCATCACATGCATTTCATGTGTGGGTTCATGTTCACATGTATTTGCATGAAGATAGAACCCAGAGGCTAACATCAGGCATCTTCTTCAGTTGCTTTTCTATTATATTTTTGGAATAAGGTCTCTCACTCAACCTGATACATTCTTTAGCCTAGACAGGCTGAATGGCCACCAAGTGATGGATCCTGCTTTCTCTTACTTCTCCTGTACTGACACTGCAAAAAGCACAAACTGCTTCAGTTTCTTTTTGTTGTTGTTTTTTGAGTTTTTTGTTATTTGTTTTTTTTTTATTTTGTTTTGTTTTTTTGCTTTTAGCCTGGTTGCTGAAAATCTTAACTCAGGTCTTCAGGCTTGAATGGTAAGCATTTACCCATGGAGTCACCTCCTTAGTTCTCATTTTTATTCTTTTAAAGTGTTTTGGATAAAAAATGTGTTGTGAATGGACAAACTGAGCAGTGCTCCCGATGTAACTGATGCATGGGTATTATTAATCATTCCTTCTTTACTATATCAAGTTAACATTTCTCAGTTTCTATCAGGAGCTACTGGCCCTGCTCTCTTCTGTCTCATGATAAGCATAATGCTAAAGACATGGAAGACACTCTTCAGAGACAAGTCTTCTGCTACCATGGTCTTCAGGAGTCATAGAAATGAGCTTCCTCTCCATTTAATGACTTGCACCTCCAGATTATTCCTTCAAGCTGTTCACTATTACATCTGTATTCTAGTACTGCTTGCGGTAACCTTCCAATGTGGCATTCACCTTCTTGTGTTAATGAAGTACTTCTCTGGAAGAACGATGCTCTAACTCAGGTTCAGGATGGAAACTCGGTTTTTTTCCACCCAAAATTCTTGGAAGAATCCTTTGTTTCCCCCAACTTTCTATGTTCCATACCATCCATCACAACACTTTGAAAATACTAATGTTGATATTTACAGATGACTTACTACATGCTAGAAGCTTGTGTGTTCCATATGCATTAATTCACTTAGCTATCATATTTCAAGAAGACAATTAGTTTCATTTTAAAGAAAGAAAACTGAGGTATACAGGGTGGCAGTAAGTGTCATTTTTTATTGCTCCTAAGATGCATGTATTCCCTGTTTTTTGTATCTTTAGTGTAGAATGAGTATCAGCTATCTCATACCTCAGTGAAAATATGCACTAAAAATATAAAGACAGATGCAAAAATGTGACAAAAAGAAGTCAAGCACCAGGGGTAGAGGTTATGTGTTATCAGTGTTGTATTCCAGGCATGATATGGTCATTGAACTCTCAAACTCACAACAACCATGATTACATGAATGAGACCTACACAAGATTGGGAACATCAACACACTGTCATGGAAGGGTTAGGGCATCATAGGATCCCACTTCTCTGTAAGGATGGATAGGCAACTAACGACTACTAAGGGATGGAGCAATATTTTCCATTTTAAAGGTTTATTTTTGGTACACACACCTATGGTATGTCAGTATGTGTATATGTATGTGGTGTATGTATAAGTATGCAGATATGCTTCTCCATGTATACACATGTGGAGGCTACAGGTTGTCTACAGATCCCTTTCTCAATTCCTCTTCATCCCTTTTTTTGAAGTAGGGTCTTTCAATGAAACAAGAGTTTAGTGTTTCAACTAGATTGGCTGATCAGCAACTCTGGGGATTTGCCTGTCTCTGCCCTCCCCACTCCTGCTCCAGTGCACATAAGAGTTGATCACATTAGTGATATACAATGTGTCATCTCAACAGGAATAATATTGAGACCTCACTTTCTTCCTATCTGCTGGTCTATATTTATTGTCAGTTTTCTGCTAGTGCTGCTAATGGGTCCCCTTCTGGATCACAGAGAAGGACAGAAAATGCTGGGGAATGGATCTAGACAGAGAAACAAGATATTCCAGAACAGGATATGCCTTAAAAAATATTATGACATGAATAATTGACAAGGTTTTTCAATTCCTTGTCTATATACTTAATATGTTAAAAATCTACAGTACCGCTAAAGTCACAGGGAGTTATGGCATAGGTTGAAGCCAGATGCCTTATTCTAGGGTCCAACTTTTCTCACTGAAGCTCACTAATAGTCCTCAGTCACTATTCAAAAGCTCCTCTACTTTTTAAATCTTAAACTAAAAGCAACTTTCTGTCTCTGTTTATGTCATTCCTCTAGGTCACACCTTTCTCAGGAAAGGACAGCAGTGCAAGTATATATGAAGAGTCAGGAGTGTATGGTAAGTCAACTGCATAGCTCTAGCCCACAGGAGGAAATTGCATCATTGAGCAAAGTCACAAAATATGACTGCAAAGGGCACACATAACCAGCAGACCTCTTCTCTGGGTCATCTGTTTGGAGCAAGAGTCTGATCACTGGTAAGTAGTCTGGGATTTATGGATTCAGTTATTGAACTTTTTCACTCACTGAATTATCTCTTCCAGAATCCAAATCGACTTAGATTGGAAATTCTAATTCTTCTCTCCATCTACTTCACTCTTTCTTTCAAGCTTCTCTTCTCCAGATGCTGCAATGAGATTGGTCTCAGATCAGTCTTCTTCTGTCTTATTAGTTAAAATGGATTCACTGAAGAGCTGGACTGCAATGTATAATGCAGTGAATGATATCATTTGACTTATACCATTTTATAGGAATTAAATTTACTCCTTTAAAGAATGGCAACCCCACTTTCTTTTGATTTGCATTTAGTTTGAAATACTTGTAGACACACACATTTATTTCCATTTAATGCTAAGCTCATGGATTTCTTCTCAGTTGTCTCTGGTCTCTTGTTAATTTATCATTGATATTTAACTTTAATGATTACATTTCTAAAAAGTTAATTCTTTTATTTTGTTTTTTCTTTTCGTTTTATATCATAGAAATCATCTGTTATTTGGGGGAAGCCTTAACCCTCCTCTGTTCTTTTTAATGACTCTTTTGACATATCTCCTGTGTACTGCTGTAGTAGAACTGTAGACTTGTAGACACAATGACAGATATAGGGTGAATGAGAGATTGTGTGAGTGTGGGATCCAGAGAGAACTTCAAGATGTCTGTTAGGTATTCAAAGATTTAATTCTGATTATAGTAACAAGAGGACATTTTAAATGAAGGTGCCTACATATGAAAGAACATAGAATTATGAGATTGCTTGTGGGCTGCAGAAGAAGCACAGTGGGAGTGGACTTGAGTAGAGCAGATATACTGGGTAGCTTTAGGAGTGGGTGCTCGCTCAGATTATATCATGGAGGAATTGTTTTGATATAAATGCATTGCTACTTTTAACCTCAATTGAATTTTCTACCTATTGTACTGCAGCTTACAAATCTGAAATGTTCTCTGCGTTCTTCTTTGGGGATTTGAAGGTTTCTCATTGACTTTCTTCTTTTCTTTCTTACTGATTTTTTATAAAACACTTTCATTTTTATCTTGTGTGGATTTAGCATCAGCCAGGAGATTGAGGTATCTCTGAGGGGGTTTCCAGAAGATTAACTGATAAGAAAGCCCCATCCTGGCTGATTACAGGTGGCCCCAGAACATTGACTGAGTAAAAGAGACAGGAAAAAGGAAGTAGTCTGCACACATTTCCCCTTTCTCCAATTCCTGACCCACTGTGGCCCGAATTGTTCCACTCGACCTCTTCCTTCTGCCCTGATGTGTTTGATCCTCTGAAATAAGGAACCATAAATTAATCTTCTCCATAACAGTTACGTTGTGTCACTGTGACAGAATATGGACAGAACAATTGAAGAGAAGAAAGGTCCATTTTGCTTCAGTGTTTTAGAGAATTTCAGGCCATCTTGGCAGAGAAAGTGTGCTGTCATTCACGTAGTGGGACTGTGTTGTGAACAATCTTCATATCATTTTATCATTATCCCATGTCTAGCTTCTCAAGGTCTCATGACTGTCCTTCACTTAAGACATTTGCTGCTCATGCTAAGAAATTCTGTCATTTTAAAGATTGTTGCTTTATCATTAAGCAGATGTGGAGGTTCAGTAATGTGAGCCTATTTCCACCTTGTCTGATGGTCAGAGAGTTTGGAGGTTGCTAAAATTGTTGTTTTTTAACCAGGGCTACACAGCCTAACTCAGATGTGGTTACTTGGTTCTTTTGACATTAAGATGGCCCATACAGGTAGATCTATTCCATCCTGACAGATGGTCAGGATATGCAAGTATGCTTTTGTTCCTTCATTGGTAACTTGAGGTTTGAGCTAGGGAAGAGGACTTTAGATCCTCTGGAGCTGGAGTTACAGAATGTTCTGAGCTGCCTAACATGGGTGCTGAGAACTAAACTCAGGTCATTTGAAAGAACACTATAATTTTCTGATTGCTGAACCATTTCTTCAGTTCATATACATTTTAAAAGAAAAAGATAACTTTATCACACTCAATTATACTAAAAGAATTCTCTAAAACACAAAAATAATAGTGAACCATGTTCAAGAATTAAGTCAATGTACATTTGTACTACTGTATTTTCACCTTGACACAGTGTCCATTGACCTTACATCACTAAAGATAAGACATTATTTATTTTAGTTTTATTTTTTGTGTATGTGCATTTTGCCTGCATGTGTGTGTGTGCACCATGTGTCGTCAGGTGTCTGCAGAAGCCACAAGAACTGCAGATGGTTGAAAACTACCTGATGTAGTTACTGGGAATCAAACACAGGTCTCTTTGTGAAAGCAAAATGGGCTCTTGAATATCGAACCTTCAATTTTTATCCATGTGTCTATCTGTCTGTCTATCTTTCTTCCTTCCTTCCTTCCTTCCTTCCTTCCTTCCTTCCTTCCTTTCTTTCTTTCTATCTATCTATCCTTTTAGTTCTGTACTCTTTGTTAGAGATCTTCAGGTAAGATATAGCAAATTCTATTGGTGTTCACTTTGGTTCACAGTGTCTGTTTCTCTTTGTGATACTACTTATTAAAATAGGTGAGACAGACAATGGAAACTCAATAGAGTTAGTGCTCATTCTGAGTGAGAGGAACAAAATAAGCCAAACTCTCAGGAACAAACCAAATTCTAACTTATCATCAAAACCATTTAGAGGCATTAATAGGTTAAATATTATTTTTTGTCAGAGGTTAGAAAGACATAGAACCTGCAGCATTTGAACAAATTTACATGTGGCTCAGATGAGAGATGAACAAAGGGCAGTGTATTCTAAACTAAGCTGAGTCCAACAACCTCAAGCTATCACAAGGTGCTAACCGATATCTGCTTTATACGAATCTATGTGGTATTTTTGCTCACGAAATTAATGCCATTACATGAAATGCTTGTGTTTTGTGGTGGAAATATTTGTGATAACATCAGCCTGAACAGGAAATCCATGTGGGAACCAAGTGTTGAACATTCACTTTAGAGAAGCCTGTCAGGAAGGGTCAGAGGGCTGTCCAGGGCAGTGGGGGATGGTGGTACAAATTGGTTGTGAAGGAAGGCAGGGACCAGAGGACCTGACATGTTCTGAAAGAAGAAGGCAAAGGCATATGTGGCAAAAGGTTGTCGCCTTGAAAATGAACACATTTCCCATATAGTAGGTGGTTTATCTATCTGTAGTGTAAATAGAAGAGTTTAGTTTCTGAGGTCAGCGGGACTTTGGGGTCTAGAAAACGTAGATCGTTGTCAGGACCTGTGGTGTAGAAATGGCCCTAAACCATTTCAGAGCAAATCTAGTGGGTCACATCAGGAAAAATGGTAAAGTCAGAAGCCCGGAAGCTCTGTCCCTCCATCCAGGCAACAACTAAGCTGCTCCCAGGGCACATTATCAGAACTCTGAGACTCAGTATAAGTAATGAGAGGAGAGCTGCTAGACTTTGGGAAGAGAGGGGTTGGCATCTTAACTCACTTACCTACCACTCCCCTCCTGACTGACTAGTGACCACTGAACCAGAAACAGGCTCAAGAGTCATCTTTTATTTTTAGCTATTAGAGAAATACAAATCCAAACCATATTGAAGCTCCATCTCATCCGTGCCAGAATGGCTGAGATCAAGTAAACAAATTACAAATGCAATGCTGATGTGAATGTGGGAAAGAGGAATCTTTCTTTACTGCTGGTGAGAGCATAAACTGGTGTGCTTACTATGGAAGTGAAGCTACCACATGACCCAGCTATACCACTCCCGGGTGTATGTCCACAGGATACAACATCATAGCAAAAAGATATCTGCATATCCATGTATGTTGCTGAATTATTCACAATAGCTAAGAATGGAAAGGGTCTAGATGTACATCAACAGATATATGTAATACAATTTCTACACATATACACCATAGAATTTTATTCAACTACAAAGACAAATAAAACTTGTTTGAGTATGGATCTGGATAGTGGTATAGTAAATGAGGTAACTTAGACAAAAAAAAATACCCAACTAACTTTTAATGGTAATATGTTTGTAAATAATGGGGCATAGCTGTGAGCATGTAGAGATAGGAGACTATGAGAAGGGAACAGGAAGTATTGAGAGGGTGGAGGGGTCACATGTGACATGAGAGTGGAAAGGAGCCCACTGGGGTGGGAGGGTAAAGAGAGGATGAGGAAGAGGGGTGTGGGGAGGGAAGCAACAAAACAAATTTTGTCTGAAAACAGCCACAATACTAGGTTTCCATACTACCTCTCAAATGTTCCTCAGTTCTAGTTGTCTTTCTGGGAATTCCATGTACCCCCCCTCTTCCCCACCTGATCCTGCTGTTCCCATTGGCCCTGCCTCCAGTTCACCCATAAAATCTATTGTATTTTCCCCTCCAAGGCAGATCCATGTTTCCCCTCAGTCCTTTCCTCTATAACTAACCTCCCCGGTCTCTGGATTAATCCTTGGTTCCTATTTATTTAATTTCTAAAACCCACATATAAATGAATAGAATAATACATGCCATACTTATCTTTCTGAGTCTGGGTTACCTCACTGAGGGTAATTTTTTTATACTTCCACCCATTTGCCTGCAAATCTCATGATGTCAATTTTTAAAAGAGAGCTGAGTAATGCTCAATTGTGTAAATGTACCACATTTTTTTTTATGTTGTAGGAGGATCATTTGTCTATGTGTTAGTTTCATCAGTTAATAAAGAGACTGCCTTAGCCTTTGATAGTACAGCAGCTTAGATAGGCAGAGTAGATAGAACAGAATGCTGGGAGAAAGAAACAGAGTCAGGCAGACTCCATGGAGCCAGCCACCAGATCAGACATGCTGAATCTTTCCCGGTAAGCCACCACTTTGTGGTGGTACACACATGAATAGGAATGAATTAATCAAGATGTGAGAGTTAGCCAATAAGAGGCTAGATATAATGGGCCAGGCAGTGTTTAAAAGAATACAGTTTCCGTGTAATTATTTCGGGTATAAACTAGCTGGGGAGCCGGAATCCCAGCGGGAACTCAGCCTACCGCTCCATTTTGCAACAGAGTGGTGCCCAATGTGGTAACTAAATTCTCTTAAAAACCTGAGAGAGCTTAAAAATAAGGGAAAGAGAGTTTAACACAGATTTTGCTGTTTGCTAGGGTGTGCTATAGAGAGATTTCCTGTTTCAACAATAGCGGCAGAAAAAAAGCCGCACTGTTTTAAAACACGGCTTCCTGGGCCCTGCCGCAGGGGCAAACTCCAGCTATGGAGCATTTCTGGGCTCAGATGTTTGTGTGCCCACTCGGGATCAGGAAGAAAATACTCTGAGACCATGCCAATGGCTCAGCGCTCCCCGCCTGCACCTAGGCAGACAGTGAAATCAGGCTTAAGCAGGAGGGAGAGCATGGCGGATTTCTGCTGCCATACACAGAGATGTTTCCAGGCTGTGCAGTGCTCTGCATGTCAGATTTGGATGTAACTTGGATGAAAAGAGTTTCTGTGCTGCATACTCAGTCTCAGAGTTAAACTGCTGACTGTGGCTTCTGGAGCTCTGTCGCCCCAGAGCTAATAGAAATGGTACGTTCACCATTTTGAAATTGGAGAGAGGTGGAGCCAACATCCAGAGCAGCCCATGGCTCTGCAGCTCAGAGGCACAAGCAGCTCCGCTATGTTGGTCTGGGCACGGCAAGCCGGCAGTACCTGTTTTTGACCTAGGAATGTCACAGCTTAGATTCTTAAGTGTTTAGTGATTTAAAACTGCAAAGCAAAAGTGCTCCTGGATAGTAAAAAATTACAGATTCACAATAGGACAGATTCAGACATAAAAGACCTCTAAATGGGTCACAGTGTTGGATGAGTGTACATAGGCTTGGGAGAGAGAAGAAAAAGAATATAGAGAATAAAGTTAATGCCTTAAAAAAAGGGTAAAGTCTTTAAAGAGACAGAGTATAGATAGTTATAGATTTAAATAAATAAATAAAAATAAGTCACGTAAAAATGGAAAATTCACAGAGAGTCTGGATTATG